CCCCCCCCCCCCCCCCGTTTCCTTTGTTAGTTCATATGTTTTACCATTCATTCCACTTACAAGTCAGGTTGCAATCTTCCAGATGCCACGGTTATCACCAGATAGAAATACAAATACTAACCTCTGCCAATCACTGCCTGTTGTGTACTAACTCTTTTTAGTAAGCTAGAAAAGTGTAAACTAAGTTACCAGCTTAGTCTTTCCTGTGCCACATGCAACATTCCCTGCTAACTGTAAGGACAGTATTGGTCAGTTTGGGCACATTTGGGCCAATATGTCACAAGGGTGACCAAAGCCCAGTTTCTCCTAAAGCAGATTCATTCTGTTCTATGAAGTAAGGGTCTCCAACTAGGATCCTTGCACGACAAGATACAGTTGCTCACTTCCAACCAACTGGGAAATAGCAGTGTACTGACAAATAAGGCTTTTCTGTATGGTAGCACTAAATTGTTCTCCAGTGTGAGAGCCAGATTAACGTATGCCAGTTGAAACAAGTGCTCTTCCAACAGTTATTCTGCTTTGGCAATATAATGAGATGTGCCTTGTAGAGCAACACACGGTCAGGCTTTATGGGAAGGTTATTTTCAAAGGGAGGCAGGGAACTCAGCAGCCTAAATGTTAGGCCCATGGAGGGCATCTACCAGAGAAGAGGGGAATGCATGCATTAGCATACACTTGCCAATCACAGTGGAGACATTGCTGTGATGGGGGACCCCCCCCCATATATTTTCTTAAAGATTGAATGGATGTTTGGGAAGCAAGGAAGGGTGCTATCAATGAGTAGAGGATTATCCAATGCAAAATTATACATATTGCACAATTACATGTATCTTTTGGTCATCTCCTAGCTAAGTAGGGCAAGAACATTAGACAATTTTACTGAAATTCTCTCCTCCTTGAAAAGCAGTTTCACAGGCAAATACTCTTTCATCATACTCAGTGAGCACTGGTAGGGGTAAACATGGAGGAGAAATTTGCAGGACACCCGTAATCAGAACTTGGCTCCAAAGCAGCCCAGAAGGTTTGCTTTCTCACCTTTTACTTTCACCTCTACTGTGTCCTGGCTGTCCTCAATGCCATGGATCACTTCACAGCGGTAGATCCCAGTATCGTTGGACCGGAGTGCCTTGATTTCCAAAGTAGCATCAGTTGGTATGGCAGGATAATTGGGCAGAGAGATAGCGTCCTGGTAGGCTGTATTGACCCGTACCTGACCATCCATGGCCACTAGGAGGACAATTTCTTTGCCTTCTGATAGTTTGCTCCATTTGATTCTTGGGGACACTGGTGGGGTGTCTGGAGCTGTGGTGACTGGGCCCAAGGTGTCGATAAAGTAGCAGGGAATGGTCAAAGTTCTTCCCAGAGGAACACGCAGGGGAGAACGTAAAGGTATGCTCACACTAAGTGTGGCGCTGTGATCTATTGATCCCAAAAAGTCAAGGAGAAAAGAGTGAATATCAGTACTATAGGCTAATTCGTGTTTAACAGACAGCAATCATTTCCAAACCATGCCCCATGGAAGAACTGCCTGTGTCCTTTTTTTTTGCAAACCTGGAGAGCCCTTAGACATAACTCTAAAAGTTGGAGGTGTGGTTTTGGATCCTTTTCAGGCAGAAAACAGGTGAGAAAATGAAGGCTTTGGTCAACTTGTAAAACAGGTTTAACGTAGCTTTTAAAAAGAAACAAGGGGGAAAAAACCCTTCAAAGCTGCTTCCCAAACTCAGGAAAAAGAAAAGAAAAACAAACAAACCACAAATTCAGTTCTGACACCATCCATTGGTTCTGCCACCCATCCACTGAAGCCCTCAATTAAATCTGGCATCCCTGCTCACAAAGCAAGAGAGCTCCTGTCCCCTGCTTTGGGGACCTACCTGCCATTCTTCTGCAGCATCAAATGTTGACTGTTGACCAACAGGCAACCATCAAAAGCCCACTGCCACTCTGGACCCCTTTTTCTGATTACTCCAGTTTGTGTCAGATGGCTACGATTATAGCTGTTTGCAAAGCTGTGTTTTTGGTACTTTTTGGGTGACATGGTGCCAACTGCCTGGTGCTTGTTAAAGGATCTCTGTTCCCTCTCTCCAACATTAGCATCCAGATATAAAGAGAGGATACAAAGTGATTGCTGAGAAACCATTAGACTGGGGTATGTTCAGGCCTCCAAATGCTCTCAAAGATGCTTTAGTCAGAAGAACAAATTATCAAATCAAAGCAAATTCTCACATCAAGAGCATGCAAGTGGGAAGTTAGATGCATCTTTGAAGCAGGAGTCATGCTTTCAACTGGTAGGACCTTTCCTATTAATATCTAAAATGCAAAAATTTTAACACCCTCTATAATGCATAGCTTTTGGCCTGACTTATCTTTCCCCATTATTATACATACTGTGTCTTATGGAGTAGAGAATTCTGTGTAAGTTCAGTGGCAACTTTTGATACAACTGCCCAGAGGAGGAGGAGCCCAACTACTGTACTGAAATAACAGGTTCTAGAGTTTAAATTGAGTCTGGCCTATATGACCAGTAGTCATGTCCCCCTCTTCTTAAAAATCATAACAATAAGGATTAGCATCTTGATTAAATGAGGGGCAAATTTACTAGATATAGAGAAAAAAGATGTAAATGCACTGTAGCAGTCGATGTAATTTCATAGTGCTGGAGATGCCATCAAAGTCGTGTCCCAGGGCCTGAAGGATGTAAGGATCTGAATAGGGCAGAACAAGTTAAGTTGAATCCAAGCAATGCAGAATTACTATTTGTCCATCAAGCTCTTTGTCTGCTCCAGTGTTGTCTCTCAGGGGGAGGCCCTACCCCTGAAGGAGCAGTTCTGCAACTTAAGGGCCTTCCTGGACATCTTCCCAAACAGCAGGTGAAGACTGTGGCCATGGAGGCGTTGCTCAGCTTTGGCTGGTGCACCAGTTGTGGCCCTATCTGAGGTGGGAGGACCTCACTACAATGGCTCATGCCCTTCTCATTACCCTACTAGCCTGCTCTAGCATGCTGTACTTGGGGCTGCTTTAAACGCTACTTGGAAGCTGCAGATGGTCCAGATTGCAGTAGCTGCGTACTTCCTGATTTATGTCATTGGGAGCACATTATGCCTGTGCTACAACCCCTTCATTGGTTGCCAATAAGCTTCTAAGTTCAATTTAAAGTACTGGTTTTAATCTATATAGCCCTCTATGGCTTGGCACCAGGTTGCTTTCAAGACTGCTTTCTCCAGCTAGAGTCAGCTTGAACTACACAATTATTCCAGAAGAAGAAGCTTGTGGTTCCTCACTTCTAGGAGGTAAAAGGGAATGTGGTTCCCCAGTTCTGGGAAGCAAGGGGGACTGAGGCCAGGAGGAGTTGCTTCTTTGTGGCAGTGACTCCCCTTTGGAACAGCTTCCTGGTTGACATTAGTTTGGCTCCCTCTCTAATGGCCTTCTGCAAAAAACTTAAAACAGAGCTCTTTTTGGGGACTGAGCCCATTTATTGTTATTCTGGTTGTTGTTTCTCTACTATATTTTTTCTATTTTTTTTTTTTTAGTCTTTGCCATGGTCATTTTAACTATATGTGTGTATATCTGTAAAATGTGGAGAGTTCTTAAATGGACTGCATTGGAATATAAATGAAAGAAAAAAATAGTGTTTATAACAGTATGGACTAATACTGTTTGGACTATTTAAGACAGGGATCAAGAAGCCAGGGCCCTCTGGATGTAGTTGCTGAACTACAACTTCCATAAATCCAACCAGGATGCTCAATAGTATAGGATGATGGAGGTTGTAGCCACCAACATATGGAGGATCACATGAAATTCCTTCTTGCCCTTAGAAGGTGTTAAATATCAGAAGATGAACATCATGATCAATTAGAATGTTGAAGAAGACACGTGTGATAAAGCATACTTTTACAAACTGCAAGGATGTTGATAATTAGTTACCAGAAAAGGCACTGAGTTGCTTCTGTTTTGTATTCAAAGCTGTATCATAATTAAGGAGAGCCCCTGATAGGACATACCTAAAACTTCCACAGAGGTGACTGCAGCGATGACACGCAAACACACCAATGCTAGTAGTAAAGTGGTCATGCTTTTCCTGAAATACAAATAGAGGTAAGTGAGTTGTCATTTTTGGTAGGATGAAAGAAACAATGACCAAAGTCAATTTAGCAGGAGGTGCTTCAGTCTGTATTAAGCATACACACGCACACACACAAATATTTTATTATAACATCTTTGGGATTTCACCTTCTTTAGCTGGTAAGGAAGAAAAATATTTTACATTTCAATATTTTGGATTTGCTACTCATTACAGTCAAGACAGAGTTTAAATTAAGAGGAGACCATGTCCAGCCTTCCAGATATTGATGAATATGAGTTCCCAGCATCCTTCACCATTGTTCAGACCAGCTGGAGTTGCTGGGAATTGGTGTTCGGTCACAGCTGGAGGACTGGACATTGTCCCCTCCTAATTAGCAGCTGGCTACTGCTGCTGATGCGTTACTTTCAAGGTTTATTAGATCACAATTTTCTGTTGCATCTGAACAAGGAAACCAGCTTATGCATGGCACAAACTATACTTGCAACAATGGTTTACAGCCAGAACATTTTTCCAATTCAGGTAGCATGGAAACTATGTTTTAATCCACCATGGAAGTGTGGCACTAAGGTGAGTGAGAGATGGGAGGAGGGGAAATAATGACCGACAAACAATACTTATTTGTTGGGTTCACACAACACAATATACAGTACCTTAAGCCCAGGTCACCGAAATATGATTGCTGGATTCACATAATATGCTGTGCCCAAACAAATGATATTATGGCTTAATATGATGAGCCAGGTTATATAAAATGGTAAGGCAATGGCTAGATTTCCACAACTTGCTGAATCACATACTACTCAAGCCCATTTTATCCTCATCTAAAGTGTATGGTGAAGCCAGCCATTCTGTCTCCAATGAACTACAGCCTGTTAGATGGAAATTATTAGCTTGGTTTATATAAAGAAACCATCATGTGATTAGTACATTTTGGCCTAGCATAGAAATCAAGACATTATCACTTAGTTATATGTGAACCAGAGCAGTATAGTTTGTTCAACAATACAGGACTGAAAAAAATCTTGATCTGTAATTGTAGAATAATAGAAGTAGTGGTTGCTTTATTTTTCATGCACCAAGAGTTGATGAACTAGAAAATAATAAATTGCAACATCAAGAAATATAATAACTCACAATAATCCAATTTAAGATCACAACAGAAATACAGAGTCTCAGTTACTTAAGTTGCCCACAATATTTAAAACAATAATTAGAACCTATGTCTTAGTAACTATACATTTCTGCATTAAAAAAGTACTTTAACCAATTTCAGAAAGGCCCATTAAAAATACTAAACAAAACGTTATCATCTTTAAATATTTGAATAAATTAGGCACCAGGCTGTATTGTGGTCGAACCTTGTTCCAGTGGATTGGCAATAGATAAGAAAAAGCTCTCATTGGTGATCTCAGTACATTTTGTAGCCTCTCAAGGCATTTTTAAAATATGCTAGTCTGCTCAGAAAGGACAAGGTGTTTGTAGAGTCATGAAGGATGAATAAGCTTGTTATAATATAATCTTACGTGAATTATGGCCCAAGGAACATGTATATTGTAGATCTCTCTCTCTCTCTCTCTCTCTCTCTCTCTCTGTGGTGGAGTTCACACAACAGCTTAAACTAAAATGTGACTGGCTATTATAGCTCATTGTGCCATGGAGACTAACCCAGCCCAGTGTGGTTACAGAGTTTAAGGTTCTATGCATCATACAGAAGAGAAATACAAAATGAAATCTCTAAAGGGAGAAAAAAGGACGACTCAGGAGAAGTGTATGAAAAGTTTGGGAAACACTGCTGTGCAAACTCACATCTGCATTGTTGTTCAGTTGTTAAGTCATGTCCGACTCTTTTTGACCCCATTCACCATATCGCGCCAGGCCTTCCTGTCCTTCACTGCCTCCCTGAGTTTGCTCAGTTTCATGCTCACACATCTGCTTACAGCCGTATAAGACACTGCAGTGTTTCCCATGGGAATGAAGACATGATTTCTCCAGGCTGGTCTAGTAAGGTAAAGGTTCTAGGAGAGGCAGTGTTAGATAGAAATAAGATTGGGAGACCCAGTTTTAAAGCTCGCCAACTTTCCTCATAGGGTGGTTGTGGAGGAAAAATAGAAGGCGGGGTAACCTTGGGAGCAACTGGAAGAAAGGCAGAATCGAAATATAATGAATAAATAAAGGCCGCTAAATTCTTCTGCAGGAGCGGATAGCCAGATGTTCATATATGGACAGAAGAAACTCCCATACAAATTGCCTAGAGTCTACTTCTTCTATAAGTAATATATATAATCATCATGGCTAATAGTAACCCTAACCCATATTTTCCAAGAAAACCTTATCCAAGTTGGGAGACCACAACCTTTGTGCAGGGATGGGCAACCTGTAATCTACAGCCTAATTTTATGCTTAATTCCTCCATTGGCTAAACCACTACTTGTGAAGAAATGTGGAGTTTTGATGTGAATTTGGTGCTCGTTGTTCTTTGGGAGGATTTAACCTGAAAATAGAGCTTGTGCAGAGGTATCCTCAATTTTTAAATGATGTTTTTTCTTTATGAATAAGAAGCAGAGGAATAGCATCCAGATGACCAGTCTTTATAAAAGTGCTTAATCTGAGAGAGTTTGGAAGCCAGTCAGAATGGAATAATCCAGCTGAGAGAACACTGATGTAAATAATAAGGTTTTTTTTAAAAGCCACAGAAGTATATTGATTACTGTGTTTGGATTCTAGCATTTGTTTATTTATTTAAGGAGAGAGGACTGGAATGTCCATTCCCTAAAACCTATCTCTTCCGTTAGTCTAACCAGCCTGAATTTTGCAGAAAATGGCTTACTTCTAGAAAAGTGACTTTTATTAAAAATGGTAGATGTGTTCATGGATGGGGACATGGGTCTGAGAAGATCAGTCCCCATAGCTCCTTCCATATTAGAGCTAGGGGGAAAGAGGGTTTTGACACATACCCCCAACAAAAAAAGGGAACTTGATTGCCAAAACAGAAAGGACATCTACTTCTGTGAAATGGTTCAGTTCACCAACTTCCTTCCTCTAAGTCTTTTTGCTGAGTGAGTCTACTGAATCTGACTTGCTCTTAATAAGAGACGCTGGTATCGCTGATAGAGGTGATAGAGGAAATTGCATTCAACTGCCATGCACGTTGGCTCTCCTAGAAGTGCTTTGTCTTTCATTAGGAGCAGAAAAACATCTTAGATGAAATCTGAGGATTAAGCTTGATGGGTAAACAATAGAATTGCTCTATTCTAAAGCAAAATATTCCAGCAAGCTGGGGGACTGCACTCTGGGACATTTGAGAACTACAGTTCTTCCAGACAAAGATGTGATCATGTTAGTGAAGAATCCCTTGATTAAATGATGTTACAGCTGACAGCTTGCCATTGACATACCTCCATGTCAGTAATTGCAATGTTAATATATCCCCATGTCAGTAGCACTGCGTCTGTGGATGGGAAAATGTTGTTCCGAGACAGCAAATGCCTCTTCCTTGACTTTACTATTTCCACCTTATCTACTGTCCATGGAAGGGATTCTTAACCTGCTCCACCTCCCAATTCCTGGGATCAAACTATAGCAGCAAGTAGGTATATCTAGGTAAAGAAACCCAAATAGAGATTTGCTGGCATGACAGCATTAGGCGTTTGGAGTTTTATCATCAGGGAGAATGAAGAAAAATGTGATAATAGATTATTCTCTTTAATTTTATTAAAGATGGGGGAAGAAACGGGTGCTTAGGCACAGACCATGGAGAAATAATCAAGTAATGGAGAAATCTTTCCTTTCCTCAATGGGATTTTTTACTTTATCATCTTAGTTTCACTGTTAATGCTTCTTTGCAATATGGTATTATTATTACTGTTGGTGGTGGTGGTGGTGGTTTTTTGTTATTGTTGTTGGGTCTTGGGGCCATACATAGCCCACCAGTTGTCCATCTTAGATGAAGATCCACCAGTCCTTTCAACTCCTTTTCCACCTTAACATTTTATTTCTCTTTAGCTACCTTGTGATCCGTTGTCTTGGCAAGCCTAGTTCAATAATGTCCAGCTCCATCCTCTCATTGGGTTTGGTCATTCATTATTTCCTGGCATAGCTGCCTCTGCCATTAATGAAGCTATTTCAGGTGGCAAATGACAATAAGTGAGAATCATGCTCAAGCATTGGAAGATTCAGAACACTTCCACAGAAGGATTCTGTGGCGGTTTAAAAGCAGCTCTTGAGCTCTGTATTTCTACAGCCTAAGCAAGGCTGGAAAGCTGAACTTATTTATTATTGTCTCAGCCCTGGAAGGAGAATGCAAGCTTCAAAGCTTTGTGGAAGAACATTATGATTAAGGGCCAACTAGATGGCAGATCCTAGCTGATCTCAGCGGATCTCAGAAAGCTAAGTAGGGTTGGACTTGGTGTGTAGTTGGATGCAAGAACACCAGAAAAGTCCAGCTATAGGTCAGACTGAGAAATTATAAAAACATTCCAGAAGGCAGCACTGGCCAATTACCTCCATAGTGTTGCCAAGAAAACTACATGGGCATATTCACGAAGTCACCAGGAGTTGAACTCAACTTGGAGGAAACATTATCTTTCCTTTTTGATTTTGCTATTATGTAAATTTGCTCACTGGCATAGGAGGAGGAAGGTGTTTGAGGACCTGATTCTAATTAATTAATTAAACAGATTAACATTTACCCCGTTCAGTTGGACTCTCAGCAGCCTAAGTAATTAAAAGCATTAAAATATCCACAGTAAGAATTAAATCCATAAAAACTATAAAAACACAATAAGAAATACCCATCAATCATGGGTGCCTCATCATTCATAACAAGCATCGGAAACAGTTCACTTTCAACAATCTCTAGAAGGTTAAGCAATGTAGAGTCCAGCCTGATTTCTAAGGGAAGGTTGTTCCGTAATATAAGTGTTGCCACTGTAAAGCAGAACTTATGACTCTCAGGACCATGCATTTTTGCAGAAATGGGAGATGATCT